TGAGCTTAAGCTGCGCAGCCTTGCTGGCCGTGTACGCTGCCATCCCACTCATCGGCTGGATGTGTGCAAGACTCGCCGAGATGTTGATGAGGATTGGCGCTGAGCCTGCAGACGATACGAAGGCCTGCGTGGCGTGAAGGGTAGTTGTGACGTTTGTCTCGAACATGGAAGAGAAACTCTCCGCCGTGTATTTGATGGCGGGGGTTGGAGGAGCCATGGCACCCGCATTGTTGACAAGAATGTCGAGCTTCCCGACCTTTGCAACAATGCTGGAAAATGCAGCCTCGACCTCCTCTCGCTTTTTGAGGTCGGCAACCTCATATAGGACTTGGATCACTGAGGGGTGGGCGGCTTGGGCCAGGATGGCCTCCTTGCTCGCCTCTAGCCTGTCCAGTCGGCGGCCGAGGATAGAGACGGACTTGGCTCCAGCTTGAGCGAATGCAATAGCTGCTGCCTTTCCGATCCCAGTGCCACCTCCAGTGACGACGACGTTCTTCCCCGCAGCTGATAGCTCAGGGCGTTTAGGTGAGATGGCTTCGTAGGGCTTATTGTGCCATTTTTCGGTGAATGAAACCCATTTGGGGACCACGACATCCTGGCTGGCTGGCATTTTAACGAAGAGGTTTGTATGAAGATGTTCTAAATTATGTTACTCGATGTGTCCAGTCGAGGATAGCATTCATCCAAGGATTAAGTACTTCTCTCAACTTATAGTTGGAGCGTGGTATCTTCACGGAGTCCGATCGTAATCAATAACAAAGAAAAGCTATGGATTTATACATACTTGAGGAATTCGGACCTGATTTCTCAGTTTCGGTCATGGACGTCCGGTTCGACGGTCTTTACGAGAGGTGAGGATTTGTCCTCCGGAGTCCGGCCAGAACTGAAGCCATTATTCAAAGTGACACTTGACTCAGCTGAGGCATCAGGCTTAACAAGACGGAATCAACTAGATTCGATGTAAGATAGCATTAACAATAGCTCGGTATGTTTATATCCGAACCATCCTTAGGAACTACAAAAGCTACGAGAGAGTACGCTTGTTGTTTGGCTTTCATCTTCAGCACAACAAGATAGCAACACCAAAACCAACATTCTCCTACTTCTTTCAAATAAAAATCAAAGTTTTGACCAGCATCTCATAACATAATGGTTGCTAAATACGCCAAGGATCAGCCAGAGGGCTTCGTCAACCGTATTCAGTGGGTTGCCATCGTTGGTGTAAGTTAGAATTCGTCGTCTTCACAGATCCTCGTTCGCTGATGAAACCGCACTCAGGCCGGAGGCCAACTCGGTCGTCACATCACGGAAGAATTGCTCAAGACAGGCCAGCACACGATCACGGCCGTTACCAGGGCTGGTGGAAATTCAACATTTCCAGAGGGCGTGATTCCTGCTGCTGTCGACTACACTGACGAGAGTGCGCTGGTATCGGCCCTCAAGGGACAACAGTTCCTCATCATCACTTTGCCACACGATGCTGCCCCTGAAACTCACGCAAAGATTGTCGAGGCGGCAGGAAAGGCTGGCGTGCCGTACATCATGCCCAATGTGTACACCGGCGACATTGTCGTCAACAACAAGTCTCTTGGTGATGAGGTTATGCTGGGACAGAAGCTTCGTCAAATCGTTCAGCACATTGAACAGGTTGGAAAGAGCTCCTGGACAGTCCTCGTGACCAGCCTCTGGTACGAGTTCAGCCTGGCGTGCCCGCCCGACTGGTTCGGCTTCGATGTCGCCAAGCGAGAGGTCACCTTCTTTGACGACGGCGAGCGCAAGATCAACACCTCCTCCTGGCCGTTCATCGGGAAGACGGTGGCCGCATTTCTCAGCCTCAAGGAGCTCCCAGAGAACGAGAATGACGATTCTCTCACCGTCTCCTCCTTCCAGAACAAGCCGCTGTATACATCGAGCTTCTTCATCTCTCAGCGAGACATGCTAGACAGCATTCACCGCGTATCAGGCACCTCTGATAAGGACTGGACCATTAAGAAGGAGGCGAGCAGCAAGCGAGTCGCTGATGGACAAGCTCTCCTGGCGACGGGAGACCTCCGAGGGCTGGCAAGGATGTACTATTCTCGGATGTTCTTCCCAGGCACGGAGGGGACGTACCAGGATAAGCTGCATACCAAGGCTCTGGGGCTTTCTGAAGATGATCTGGACCAGGCAACAAAGCGGGCTCTGGCTATGGTTGAATCTGACTGGCGTCCCATGTAATCAGATACTGTCGGGGGGAAGTTTGATTTTGGAAGATCCATGAAAAACCACCTCGATGTGTTCCGACACTGTGTAATTATGTTTTAGTTGTTAAATTTAAACCTCCAAACATCAAATATTTGCGTTGTGTCTATGTATGAGTTGAGAGACAATACTAGCTGGGTCAACCCAGACGGCTTCAAGACAACATTTTTAGAGTCATATGCGATATAGCCACTTTAACGCAGTTTTCGTTATTTCATAAAATATATTTAAATACACGAATGTATTTATGGAACAGCAAATTTCCCTTTCTTATAATTTATCCAACGCTTGCAATCTATGAGAGTTGGTAGAGATCGTGGCTTGAGTATAGGGTAAGCCAGCGAGTGAGGAATGTCAAGTCTTAAAAACAGCTTCCATCAGCCGCCTGAAAGGGACAATCATCAATCAATCAATCGTGGTTCTAACCCCGGCTGTGTCCTGCCACGCTCCACCATCTCGCATGCACCTGTTTAGTCACTCTCAATCCTCTTCAATAGGTCGTATTAGCCCAACGCGCAAATGGGCTTTTTTGACTCAGCCATAACAACATGTCAGCCAGCTTTGGAATCCAGCCAATAGGCCGCTTCGCCGGCGGCAGCCAGCCTGTGAAGAGACCAAAGGTATGTCCATCATCAACCGGTCGCATATCTCATTGGAAACTAAATATGCAACCTAGGAGTTTGCTTGCTTTTCATATGATGAGAACCATCAATTTCACCTCGATGATTCATCCATACAATATTACTACCCGCCTGTTCTGGGCGCGGACCTGTCTAAGGGGTTCGAGACTTTCCAGAAGCAGGATGATTCCAAAGATGAACATCTGGAAAGCCTGCTAAAGACTATCATTGACCATGAACAGAAGGAGGGAAAGAAGATCGATGCTAACGTGGTGACCTGGAGAGGAATGATTACAAAGGTAGAGTGTTCCGCAGAATAGCGTCGTCCGTGAGCATCACATCTAACACGGGGGAAAATCTAGATCATGGCCACGCCTTTTGAAACGAGGGATGGGTGAGTGCGCAATGCCGCCTTTCAGAAGGCTGAAGACTTACATCGGGTGGTATAGCTTTGAAATGAACGCCACGTTGTATCAGGTATGGTTATCCCTTGAGCCCCAGGAAGATCTTGACTGACGAGAGTTACCAACAAAAGGACTGCCTGTAAGTCTCGATTTTCTACTAACCTACTGGAAATCTCTCTTCAGTGAATCTCAGAGATGCTAATAAGCACCCAGCTTTATCGAGGAGAGCCACAAGCACAAAATGGAATCCAGAGCCAATGAGAAAGGGCCGACTAAACGACGAGGTCCTCCTTTGGAAGTTATGCAATTCTGGGGTAAATCTCTTCCTTTCTCTTTGATAAGAGGCCCATGAACATAGACTTACAAGCTACGTCTCAAGGCTACAAGTTCGAAACACTGGCAACCCTTCCGAAGACATGGGCCGAAACCTCGCGCGAGTACATCGAAGAGCGTGAGAATCATGTCGTCAACAACAAGGCTCAGTACTGCTCTGTCGTGCGCACCGGAATCGGAAAGACGGTGATGTGTCTCGGTGGTGAAGTCGATGCCAGTAAGTGTCAACCGCATGCTCAGTCCCCCCCCTTTGCCAGAGAAGGGAAGAGATCACAAGGAATAAGACGCAGAGCGATATGGATCTTACTGATGCACCCAAACTTGAATAGTCTGGGACTCAAAACCACTCATCCAAGGAAGCCCGACAAACTGGGTGGAGCTGAAGACGTCCGCTGAAATCCGCGGACCCCAGGACAGGGAATACTTCCACCGCAAGCTCATGAAGTTCTGGATCCAGTCCTTCCTGCTCGGCGTCCCTAAGATCATCGTCGGCTTCCGGACTCGCGATGGCATCCTCTCTAGTGTCGACGAGATTGAGACGCAGAGCATACCGCAAATCGTCAACTCCCAGCCGAATCCGGCGTGGAATGCTGACATGTGTGTCAACTTTGCTGGCATATTTTTGGAGTGTAAGTGTACCCGTCCCTTATCTCGGCGATGGAACTAATCTGTGCTGATAATGTGAACGTGATCAGGGTTAACTCAAAATATCAATGACGAGGGGGTGTGGAGGATATCTCGAAAACCACAGTCACCCATCATTGAGGTGTACAGGGTGCAGGATACCGGTCACGGTGACATTCTCTCCGAGGAATTCAAGAATTGGAGGATTAAGCTGGCTCTGAAACAGCAAGATGAGCAGATTGAAGGCTGAGCGTACGCGGGGTACGTTCAGCCAGCGTCGAAGTTCATGGACAGACAGTTGCACATTACATGTTGAGCGCTGCTATGTATCTTATATTCAATCAGATGAATTTGGTCATCTATGTAATTGGGACTCTATCTACCAAGTAATTCAGGACCACAACTAAATCCAATAAACGCCGTTCTCATGTACATTATATCAAGTCATCAGGCAACATGAGCCGTCAAGGTGTCATGTGCAAAAGGCATCGTGCCAGACTTCATCCAGTCCTCGAGAATCCCATGCCGAATGTTTGGGCCATGAGAGTCACTCTCCTGCTCCCGTGAATTAGGTTTCAAATCAATAATCAGCTCCGCCATGCAGTACAAAATGTCACAAACAGTAAATAGTACAGATTCAAAATGGTGGGACTCGCCCATCATCTGTAAGGGTTTTAACTCCTTCCCGATCTCGCTGGGAACAAGAAAATATTCTTTTTTCTCATCCCCACAAAGATTTTACTCCCATTGATGGAGGAAGCATACCTCTCAGTTGAGTTTAGGCGGCAGGCCAGCGAATGCGAAGCCCCTCAGCCCAACGGTTGTAGAGGACATCTGAGAGCTGCTTGCAATGTTCCATACCAGACCTCATCTCCCGTCCGGGATACTTGGTCTCAATTATGGATTGATCCTTCTCATTGAAGCTCTCAGGGGCAGGGGATTCCCCCTGCCGGCGCCTATGGCTCTTCAGATGAGGGTTGTTTGAGCTAAGAACAAGCTTCGTAGGACTAGTCATAGGCGTCGAGCTCTTAATTATGACGGTTCCTTGAGGAGTCCCATCGTCAGGTATCTTCCTAGATGGCTTATCAAGTAGAGCACCATTGAGCTTCTTGTCTTGGGACATAGAAGTGAGAAGATTGTTGACGAGATGATACGCGCCTTCCGGATCGACGGCATCTAAAGCCGCAAACGCATCAGACAGCTTAGCCAGCGCCTCGCGCTTTTGCATTGCGGAAGTTTGGGCATGTAGCTCAGAGAGGCTGGGCTCGATGGCTTTGTTGTAAAGTCTACGCCCGAGAATTGCCTCCTTCCCATAGGGTTCAATAGGAGCCGCTGCTGCCGGTGGCACATTCTCATCGCAAAAGACGTCGTCGGGAGAGGCAGGTCGCCCAGCCTCTCCTCTTGTGGAGCTATCTGAAGGAACCCTACGGAAAAGGCGCATGGTCGAGCCGGAGTTTCCGAATGACATGTCGGGCTGAAGGGGTCTCTTAGCCACAACCGAGCCTCGGGGCAAGCTGTTCCTGGGGGAGCCAGTGGAATGCATAGCTGACACCTGTGCCATTGATGGGGTTCGCCGAACCGTGGATTTACGTATCGTTCCACCGGCGGGAGAGGCCGAGCCCAGGGGAGCATCCTTGAGATCAAGTCTGCGCATGGAGTCCTCGGTAGCCAACATGGAGGAAGGCTTTCGGTGCCTGATGGTTGGTCGCTTGGGTGGCGCGACAGACTTGACTGTGTCAAAGATCCATTCTTCCTCATCATCCTTGGGCGAAATGGTTTGTAGAGTCTCCTGATAGTAGATTGGGTGTCTCTGGCGATTTTGGTTTGCATCCCACATCTGTCTTCGTGCGATGAGCTCCTGTAGGGCCTCGACCTTGCCTGCAGAACGAATAAAGCGATGGCGCAAGAGCTCCTTTGCAGTTGGTCGGCGATCGTAGTCCTTAATGAGACATTGAGATACAAAGTCTCTGAATTCTTTGCTGAAATGGCCCTCTAGAGCCGGGGGAGGATTCTTGGGGATGTGGAATAGCACCTTCATAGGATGAATATGTGCTAGTGGCGGCTCGCCGTTGGCCATCTCCATGGCAGTAATGCCCAATGACCAAATGTCAGCCTTGAAGCTGTATCCATCTTGCTGTATAACCTCCGGGGCCATCCAGAAAGGAGTCCCGACAAATGTGTTGCGCTGCGATTTGATATTGGTCAGCTGGGCGGCGACGCCGAAATCTGCCAGCTTCACTTTGCCGGACTCTGAAAGGAGGACGTTGGCGGCTTTGATGTCTCGGTGGATTTTGCCTTCCTGGTGCAAGTACTGGATGCCCAGAAGCAATTCGCGACAGACAATGGCAATGTGCGTCTCGCCGAAGTTGGCCGGTTTGAGCTAGGTCTCTGGTTAGCAAATGCTCAAACGTGGTCGAGGAGGGTTCGACAGTACCAAATCAAGGCACGAGCCACCACCAAGATACTCCATGACAATCCATAACTTATGACCTCGGAGAAACGAGCCCTTGTACTGGGTCACAAACGGGCTGGCGCAAGTGCTAAGAACGGCTATTTCGGCTTGAATGTCTTGAATATCATCATCGTTGGATTCGAGATCGATCTGCAAGTAGTGGTATTAGAATCAAGCCGTATGGTAAGGGGCAGGAGGATGCTCACATGTTTGATGGCGACAGTTTCCCCTGTTGCTTTCTCAATACCTTTGTATACCACACCAAAGCTTCCACCTGTGCGAGATGGCGAATTAGCAAATAAGACATCACAGGAGCGGGTGTAAGTTGAACTTACGGCCAAGTTCCTCAAGAACCTGGTAGTGGTCGGCCAAACCCTCGGCAGCCATTTTGGATCAACCTCAACCGGAGTTCTATCTCGGAAGGTGTCGAGGACAGAGAAGAGAACAATCACTGAGAGAGGCAGAGCCTGGCGCCGCTGGTGTTTGCTGGAACCCCGTCACTTGGTGCGAGGCAGTTGGTGTGACGACGGAAGAGACAATGGTAGGACAGACGAGCGACGGATGGGATGGACATTATTTACACAGCGAGGCCCAGCGCTGACCATTTTACAAGCAATGCAGGCCCAAGCGGGTTGTCCTGGGATACTGCTACCAGGATCGCTCGGGGTGCCTGCTAGCAGGTCTGGGCACAAACTCTAGAATCATTTAGTGGACCCCGCAGGAGCTCGCAGGCGTGCAGCAACCACCAAGTTGGGCTCCTGTGCCTGAGAGTACATGGGCGGTACATCGCTGATCTGCTGCAGACGCCGCTGGGCGCAGGTACCGGCCCACAAACCAGGGTTGCAGCTAAATTATGCGCCCAGCCGTCACCAACGTCATCAGCTGCGACAACAATATTTGCATGGCATTTTGAAACAAACCGACCCAAACCGAACCAGCACCACATCGCATCGCATATATGAACCTAGCATTGGCAGCCGGCCAGTTCGCGGCAGCCGCCTCACTCACACCGATCATGCTCTTTTCTTCTCTTCAGCTTGGCCAGTCCCAACCGCGCTGCATATCGGGATTTCCCTTCCACTGGGTAAGCGCAAATCCCATCCCAAATTGCGACGCCGCTTCGGAGTTGCCCATGACCGTTGCCAGAGCAACGATGAGCCCCTCCACCACCACCATCCACTAGCGAGTATATGAAATTATGAAACAGTTCCCGAAAGGCTACCAAATTACCTCTGGACTGCTCTATGCGTCGGCTGTGTTAGGCGGCATGTCTCATTTGACACATCAAATAGTAGCTCCCACTCTATCAACCGATCCGCACGGCTATAAGGCATCAAACGGATGCAGATTCCGATATGGCACATTTCATCAATTGTCGGGACACTCAAGATGGGAGCTTCAATTCCGTGCGTCTTTGATGCACTGTAGAACCCCGGATTGCACAAAGCAGATGTCCGACTCTGAATCAGCCACCACCCGCCGACTGAGACAACGGGGAGTATGGGCTGGTATAAGGTTCACAATATGCAGAGGAAGTATAGATCTCCAGCTTGACCCACCATTGACCAGAGAGCACCATCTATATCCAAACACAAATATGGTTTGAGTCTAGACGCTTGAACCATAAGCGCATTAAACGTCGGCACACCAACATGTTCGAACTACATCGGCAATGAGAAAACAACATCCATTTATGCGAACTGCGACACGAGTCAAACCCATCATTGAGGCATTACCACTGCCGAAATCTCAAGATCAGCGATGAATGCGTTTACACGACCTCCTCTTCTTAAGTTGCTGCTATCGCTTACCCTGAAACATCACAAGAAATCGATTTCAAGGCTGTCATCCCTGCTCTACTTCCATGGAAGTTTGGCTTGCACAGGCCTACCTACAGCACCCCTGATGCCAAAGCCCCACCACCAGTCGCCCTGCTCCGGCTTGGGGTAAGGTAAACCTTGACGCCTTTGGGCCAAGCATTGCTTCAGCAACAACAGCCTCAAAATGTGATAGAGAAACGGCGAGCTTTCTTAAAAGGACCCAGTAAACGTAGCTGAGCCTTGCATTGCAGGATGCAGTCTCGGATCAAGGCTTTTGTGTGTGAATGTCCTGCAGTCTACATTGTCTCGGACAAGGCATTACCTGAGTCATACGACTCAAGCGACCAATAACCTGTAGAGCTTTATAGAATTGCTTTTTCTCATGGATCATGTCTGACACGACGACGGTTTGGTGTTGTCTGCTTTAGACCTGAAGGAGTCTATTCACTCATGAGACGGTGAAAATATTTGGATGTTCATAAAGCCAGCGGGGAACAAGCACCATTGGCATGAGTATCAGGCATACTTTAAATGAAGCCTTCGTGCCGAGGATGCTGGGGTACAGGCGAGAATTGGGATTATACCGTATTATGTAAAATGATACAGCTGGGGATTTGCCAAGACTGTCGGAGCCGGTGATCTCACAAGGCAATAGTCTCCCTTTCCAGGCAGCCCCCTTTGTCGCACTCGTATCGCATCGAGTATCAGATGAGTGAAACCGAGACTGACACGAGAAGTGAACAGTTGGTGGCTGTCAGGTGGCTACCCGCTACTGCTATCCGCTCGAGGGCGCCTTGCTGCAGCGGGCACCTACATGTGAGATTAGGTCGACACCGGTACCCCGAATTATCGAACTCTTATCGCCGTTTCTCCAAGCACGAACACTGTACAACATGCTCGCACGGATACCGCACCTACTATACATGCAACTCGTGCATCTTTACCAAGTTTGCAACCACCCTCATTTCATGTACCGCCGCGTCTTACGACAATCCAGCAGTTCCGCTTTGGGATCGGCGAGGCTTTGCATAAACCTCCCTCATCATGGCGCTCAGAGGCTTGGCCTGGGGCCTCCGGGGCCCACCACCTACCGGTGGGCTAGTGCTTCTCCAGAGCCACCGCTGCTGCCCGCTTGCATGACGCCGTTGCCCAGGCGACAACAGGCCACCCGATTGGGCTTTTCTCAACAGAGCACTCAGCTGTGGGCGCCAGTCAATAGCTGGGCATCGTCGTCGGAGCGCATACAGCATTGCAGCAACAAGCGAAAACAGTTCATGCGAAACTGAGCTGTCCTTGTGCGCACATATTGCCGGCCAAACCACTTGCACCCACCCCAAACTCGCCTTGCGTGCTTCGCTTGAACTGTTCCTCTCTCACCTGCTTCTCACCGACACCGAAAATACGGCGTATTTCCACGACCATCGTTTGTGCCTCGACTTTCGTTTCGCTCGCTCGCTATCGACCAGACCTAATTTAGCTCCCCCTTGCTTTGCGATGCTGTTTGACTTTCCGACTGCTTGAGTTTTGTTCCGACGGGGCTGGATTGTGGTAGCTGCACCTAGCTATTGTTCGAACAAAGGCCACTCCCTCGACCAGTTTTGTCGCCATAACGAGCTTGGCTTGATTCTGGTGCTAATCCATCCTGTGCCATGGCGCCCGCACCACCGCCGGTCCCCATGCGGTTTCCTTGCTGGTGCCGAGCTGTTTATTCTTGGGGAGGCGAGGTAGGCAGTTTCTGAATACCCCCCATCTCACGATCTTTTCTGCGAGGGCCTTGCCTTCATTATATTTGCATGACTGACATCTCTGGCGCAGTCCAAACGAGACCTGGGATTTATCGAGGGCGATTTGATCGAATGCCTCAACGCTGGTGATGGCTCCTGGTGGGTGGGAAGACTCTACCGAGACCGGAGATCCGTTGGTTCTTTCCCTTCCAACTTTGTCGAGGTTCTTCCCGCCGAGTTCCGACCTACAACCAAGTCCGTGAGCCCTCTGCCCGATAGCAACACACCCAGCCCGAAAAATGGACCGCAAAAGTCGAAGACTTTCAGGAAACCATTCGAGGCGTATGCCAAGGCCCCTCACTACACCACCGCGAAGCAACCTGAGGTCTTTCGGGAGGTAATCAAGCCTCGCCAGCGCGGGAATTCAGGACAGTCCTTTGCAAAGGGGTCGTCGCCAGATGATATATCACGGGCGCCCTCCCCGGCACCCAGCCAGCTGCGGCATCATAGCTCCATCGCACACTCCCCCGAGCCACCTTCGTCTCAACATTACGGATCCAGAGCTCCCTCGCCAGCACCTACTTTGACCCGGCAATATGACCACAGAGCTCCCTCGCCAGCACCTCCTCTGACCCGACAATACGACCACAGAGCCGTTTCGCCAGCACCTACTCTGACCCGATATCACGACCCTAGAGCTCCATCGCCGGCGCCCCCTTTGAGCCGACACTATGACCCTAGAGCGGTGTCGCCAGCACCTCCATTAGCTCAATATCACGATCCTAGAGCACCATCACCAGCACCTCCATTAGCTCGACACCACGATCCTAGAGCACCATCACCAGCACCTACCTTCCATCGCTACCATGATCCTAGAGCAACTTCTCCAGCACCCACTCTACCCCTTCATCACGACCCCAGGGCACCCTCGCCAGCACCTACTTTCAACCGATATCATGATCCAAGAGCTCCTTCGCCAGCTCCAACATTTACAAACCATCATTCCCGGGGACCCTCACCCGCCCCATCCTTTCATCGCCACTCCAGCTTTGTCGCTGAATCTGTACGGAGCGACTCTCCACCCCCTCCACCACCTCCTCATCGCCATGTTACTCACAGTAACAACAAGAAAGAATCAACTGAGTTCCAAGACACTCCGTACGATTTATCACGCCATGGTTCCAACGGTTCATACGCCCCCTATAATCCTTATGTCATGAGCCGTCAAAATTCTCATGCATCATATCATGAACCACCAGCTCTTTCAAGGAATAATTCACATGCATCCTATAACCAGGATCACTATAATTCTGAGATTTCAGGCCACCACACTCCACGAGCTATATCTCCTCATCCAGAGATTTCGCATTTGACACCATCACCATTGAGAGAGGCCATGGATGGTGTCATGGAGCAGTTGGGTGAGCTCCAAGGCTTTCGCCGTTCGGAAGATATGAACTCTACTGGCGAGCCGTTAGAACCATGGGGGCCGGATTCGTTTGGCTCAGTACAGAGCCAATCTCGCGGGAGAACGCGGGAGAACGCGGCGAGACCCATGACCTCGATAGGTTTGCCTGGCTCAGATGAGGGATACGAGACCTGGAGTGGCGGCTCATCTAAAGAAGCCTCGTTCTCACATGGCAACCACGGTAAATCAGGTCAGCTTCCCGAACTCAGCAATTATGTCGACAGAATGGAGAAGAGATTCCGGGCTCTGCATAAAAACAACCCCAAGACACCCTCGGAAGCCCCCGATGATGACATGCCACCACCTCCTCCACCAAAGGGTCAACCATTTGAGCGTCCAAAGTCGTCTATGGGTAGTTTCAGCAGCAGTTCGTCT